TATGCTCGGAGTTTCTCTGCGTGATAGACTCAGAAATGAGGATATCCGCAGTAAAACCAGAATGACCGACATAGCCCAACGGATTAGTAAGCTGAAGTGGCAATGGGCCGGCCATATAGCTCGAAGAACCGATAACCGATGGGGAAGAAAGGTTCTCGAGTGGCAGCCTCGAACCGGTAGGCGTAGTGTAGGGCGACCCCCACTAGATGGAGTGACGACCTGGTAAGATATGCAGGAAGTCGATGGATGCAGGTGGCTCAGGACCGTGCTTTGTGGCATTACTTGGGGGAGGCCTATGTTCAGCAGTGGACTTGTGAAAGGCTGTGATGATGATGATGATGATGATGATTGTTGATACGTGTGTTTCATCAATTGCCTAAGACCCCTGTATGAATTATGCGCAAAGGCTGTGGCAGAATAGCAGGAGTAATGGGTTTCCCGTTACAACTGAATCACAGACCGTTTTGTTACAACTAATTATTAAGCTTTCTATTCAAATTTTAACATTGTATTTTTGTGTAGACAATAAATACTTTTTATTTATTTATTTATTTATCTCGATGCCGTGCCCAAGATAGAAACCAGACAACAGACATGGCATGTGCACAGCAGCCAACAGTGCGTCTGCCTACCAAATAGTTGCAACACTACCCAGTAAGAGCAGCCCTAGTGTTAGATAGCAATTGATGAGTTGGTGTCAACTAGTATATAATATAAGTTTTTTTTTATATAGAAGAGGGGGCAAACGAGCATGTGGCTCACCTGTTGTTAAGTGACTACCGCCGCCCATGATCAACCGCAACACCAGGGGAATTGCAGGTGCGTTACCGGCCCTTTAGAAAGGACCGTTACCGGCTCTTTTCTTCAAGGTCCCCAGGTCTTATCGGTCCGGAAAAATCGCCGGTGGTAAACTATTCCACAGAGAGGTCGTACGCGGACGAAAACTCCTTCTAAAACGTTCAGTGGTGGACCGCCAAGCATCCAGATGGTGTTGATGTTATCGGGACGTTTACCGCGTAATGCATTCACGAAATTTGGCGGCTGGGATTAATCCGAACAATTCCTCAGAGCACTCCCCGTGATGACTCGTGTGCAATGACAAATTGCGTCGAAGAAGGCTTTGACATTAGAAGCTATTAAATTATGTGTAAATTATTGATTCTGTGCCTAAGCTCTCTCGGTCCATGTCGGATTGCGATTTGATGATTGTGGGAGAATAGAGAGTGCCGTGTTTCCGTGTTGCCGTGTGTCATACATTCGGACACTATATATCTGACTGCAGATAGGCTAGTCTCCGTGGAGACAAAAATTCGGTTGGGAGGACACTCAACCCAACAATCAACCCAACAATCTACCCAACAATCAACCTAACAACCTACCCAACAATCAACCCAACAACCAACCCAACAACCAACCCAACAATCGACCCATCAATCAACCCAACAATCAACCGAACAATCTACCCAACAATCAACCCAACAATCGACCCAACAATCGACCCAAAAATCGATCCAAATATCTTCCCAACAATAGAGCCAACAAGCAACCCAACAATCGACCCAACAGTCGACCCAACAGTCGACCCAACAGTCGACACAACAGTTGACCCAACAATCGACCCAACAGTCGACCCAACAGTCGACCCAACAGTCGACACAACAATCGACCCAACAATCGACCCAACAATCGACCCAACAATCGACCCAACAATCGAATCAACAATCGATCCAACAATTGACCCAACAATCGACCCAACAATCGACCCAACAATCAACCCAACAATCAACCCAATAATGGACCCAACATTCAACGCGACCTACACTCTCAAGACACAACCGACACACTGATGATATTATAATGATTTCTTATATTTACGCGAACACTACACATTGAAATAATACTAGTTTTTACGGAATTTATCGCGTATATTTAACTTTTTAAATACCCGACGTTTCGAACGCTTTACAGCACTCATGGTCACGGACGGGACTGAGATGTTCAACGTCCATATGTCATAGTTAACCGCGGTTACCATAGATTAAAATTTAACTTTTGTTCCGATCTATGCAGTATGAACTTATGGTATCTTTAAGTCTTGCAGTTGTATGCTTGGGTTGGGATTTAATTTTATTTATTATAGGATCCCAAGCAGATGGTAGCACCCCGCCATCTTCTCTATTGAAATTAGGATGTTTTTTGATTTCAATAGCCTCGCGAATCATCCTTGGAAGGAATCGGTGTTCGTTAGCGAGGATTTGCGGTCTATCAAACCTGATGTAGTGACGGGGGCGATCCTGTACGTGTTCACAGACTGCAGACTTCCCGGAGCGTCGATTCTTCACATCAGCTATATGTTCTTTCACGCGGGTTTTTATGGATCTTTTTGTTTGACCTATGTAGGAGAGACCAATTCGGAGCACCGCATCGATTCACTGGCTCGATTCAAAAACATTTCGAATCGGACAGATTCATCTGATTCAAGAATAGCGATAAAATTCCTAAACTGGATGGAGTAAGATACCGCAGTTTTTTAATTTTTTGCTGTTTGGGAGACGCAAAAACAACCAATCGTACTTGGTTGATAAATTGAACACAATATTTGAATAAAATAAATATTTATTAACGCATCCAACAATATCGAAAAGATGTCATTTCATTTTCAGTTCTAAAATTCTAATTCTAATCTTACCTGTGGAATGTTGGTCTAACTTAATCTGTGCTGTGAACGAAGACTATACCTAGTCAGGTCATAAGTATTGTCACACAGTTAAAACTTTTCTTTTAGAATGCTGGCCACAAAAAAGTTTATTGAATTCGAATTTCGAATTGTTCATGAAAATAAAACTGTATACTTTTTAAAATTTTACTCATTTTTGAATTTCAAGGTTTTGCTAGACTTCAGCCGCGCTTTCGATTGTGTTGATATATCTGTCCTATTGGCAAAATTAAAATACTATGGTTTCACAGAATCGGCCTACACCTGGTTTCATTATTATTTCCATAATAGCTGCCAAAAAGTGCAATGTTTGGATAGCCAAGGACTTTTTAAATATATCCAACACGCTCCCCCCTTAATAAAGGTGTTATTCAGGGTTCGATACTTGGTCTCACATTATTCGCAATTTACACGGCCAACGTTACTAAACTCACTCGAAAATTCACTTATATGCAAATGACAGCCAAGTATATGTTCACACAACGCCAATTGATGAGGAGGTTGCTGTTGCTATTTCCAAGTTAAACAAAGATCTTGATTCTATTGCGGAGTGGTCTTTGAAACATGGCCTGGTACTTAATCCCTTAAAGGGTGTCACCATTACACTTGGAAGAAACTGTGAAGAATGTGCAGAGAGTGCAGCAGAGTGGGATAAGACTTCACCTTATTTGGTCAGTAATGGCATTTTAAATATGTACAATAGTACTAAGTTAAAATATGCCTGCTTTCTGCACACTCTGCATCACGCAAAGTCTCCAAGATATCTATATGATAAGATAGCCGATAAAAAAAAGAGTTTGCTTTCAGTCAGTGAAAATAGTCATCGGCTTCCACTACCCACGATTAGACTCGATGGAGCCAGGGGGTGTTTTAAATTTGCGGCTGCTAAAATTTGGAACAATATGCCACTACCAGTCCGATCTACCCTATTTCCGTCTACCTTCCGACAAAGATGCCGCAAGTGGCTTATTCAAAAACAGTCCCTGGCTCTATGTGGCTTTGATACCACCTCAAATTAGACAACTTTTTTCTCGTATTTAACAACTATAGTTTACTAATAGTTATATTTTTATTTTTACTTTTTTATTGTTGATACGTGTGTTTCATCAATTGCCTAAGACCCCTGTATGAATTATGCGCAAAGGCTGTGGCAGAATAGCAGGAGTAATGGGTTTCCCGTTACAACTGAGTCACAGACCGTTTTGTTACAACTAATTATTAAGCTTTCTATTTAAATTTTAACATTGTATTTTTGTGTAGGCAATAAATACTTTTTATTTATTTATTTATTTATCTCGATGCCGTGCCCAAGATAGAAACCAGACAACAGACATGGCATGTGCACAGCAGCCAACAGTGCGTCTGCCTACCAAATAGTTGCAACACTACCCAGTAAGAGCAGCCCTAGTGTTAGATAGCAATTGATGAGTTGGTGTCAACTAGTATATAATATAAGTTTTTTTTTATATAGAAGAGGGGGCAAACGAGCATGCGGCTCACCTGATGTTAAGTGACTACCGCCGCCCATGGTCAACCGCAACACCAGGGGAATTGCAGGTGCGTTACCGGCCCTTTAAAAAGGACCGTTACCGGCTCTTTTCTTCAAAGTCCCCAGGTCTTATCGGTCCGGAAAAATCGCCGGTGGTAAACTATTCCACAGAGAGGTCGTACGCGGACTTCAAAAAACAAACTCCTTCTAAAACGTTCAGTGGTGGACCGCCAAGCATCCAGATGGTGTTGATGTTATCGGGACGTTTACCGCGTTATGCATTCACGAAATTTGGCGGCTGGGATTAATCCGAACAATTCCTCAGAGCACTCCCCGTGATGACTCGTGTGCAATGACAAATTGTGTCGAAGAAGGCTTTGACATTAGAAGCTATTAAATTATGTGTAAATTATTGATTCTGTGCCTAAGCTCTCTCGGTCCGTGTCGGATTGCGATTTGATGATTGTGGGAGAATAGAGAGTGCCGTGTTTGCTCATACATTCGGACACTATATATCTATCTGACTTTGCAGATAGGCTAGTCTCCGTGGAGACAAAAATTCGGTTGGGAGGACACTCAACCCAACAATCAACCCAACAATCTACCCAACAATCAACCCAACAACCTACCCAACAATCAACCCAAAAACCAACCCAACAACCAACCCAACAACCAACCCAAAAATCGACCCATCAATCAACCCAACAATCAACCGAACGATCTACCCAACAATCAACCCAACAATCGACCCAACAATCGACCCAAAAATCGATCCAAAAATCTTCCCAACAATAGAGCCAACAAGCAACCCAACAATCGACTCAACAATCGACCCAACAGTCGACCCAAAAGTCGACCCAACAGTCGACCCAACAGTCGACCCAACAGTCGACACAACAGTCGACCCAACAGTCGAGCCAACAGTCGAGCCAACAGTCGACACAACAGTTGACCCAACAATCGACCCAACTATCGACCCAACAATCGACCCAACAATCGACCCAACAGTCGACCCAACAGTCGACCCAACAGTCGACCCAACAGTCGACCCAACAGTCGACCCAACAGCCGACCCAACAGTCGACCCAACAGTCGACCCAACAGCCGACTCAACAGTCGACCCAACAATCGACCCAACAATCGACCCAAAAGTCGACCCAACAAACGACCCAACAATCGACCCAACAATCGACCCAAAAGTCGACCCAACAAACGACCCAACAATCAACCCAACAATCAACCCAATAATGGACCCAACATTCAACGCGACCTACACTCTCAAGACACAACCGACACACTGATGATATTGTTACGAGCTTAGGGTTCGTGACAATAAAAATTGCCGATAAAATTACCTAAATTAACACTTTAATTTACTTTACACAATTAGTTTTACTAAAAACACTAATAATTAAACACACTAATTCAGTTAATTCCGCTCCGAAGCTTCGCTTGTGTCGCCGAGTTCAACTCCGCTCTGCATCTTGCAGCGCCTATATATTTAAATTAGCAAATAAATATCCAGAATGTTCAAGTAAACACGCGCAAGGTACCGAGCGTTCGAGTTTCGACTAGGCGCTGTCGGTTGAGTGATTTGTGATGTCATTTTCTCAATGCTCCCCTCGCTCTCGTTCCTGACACTAGATGGCGCTAGCGTATCGTTGACTTGAGCGCGTAACACTGCCCCCTCCTAAGACATGCTCGTCCCGAGCATTATCGGCCCCATAATAACGCGCCAAGCGATTCACATGGACGATCTTAGGAGTCCCTCTTGCGCCTTTCTGTAACGGCTCCGCAATGTCAAGGGCTGTCCTATCCCGTGGTGCACCAACATTGTACAATTTCGGTGCTCCTCTACTACGTGTCTGAGGTCCCCGCACGGCCGCACAACTTGTACATGTACGACACCAATCCTCGACATCGTCACGATAATGGACCCAGTAAAACTGTTCTCGGACCTTCAGTAGAGTTCGTTTAACTCCCAGATGGACTCTTGAACGACCATTATGGCACAGCTGTAGAACATTCGGCACTTTAGCTTTAGGGACAACCATTTGCAAACGACAGCTGTCTCTTCGACCATTGTCCCATTTACGGCACAGGACTTCATCCTGAATCAGCAAGCTGTCCCATTGGGCCCAATAGCTTTTCGTGGTTGAACTCATCGCTGAGACGTCCCTCCACTTAGGCTTGGTAGCACGGGCCTTCATCCATCCCAGAATCGGCTTGATGTCCGGATCTTCCTGCTGTGCATGTCGTAGGCTGTCCTTCCACCCGTTGCTCAGGTGGTCTGTCCTGAGCATCCTCACGGATACCACCTCCTTACTCTCTTGCCTACTACAATGGTTGCAATCTTCAGGACAAGGTCTTCTTGACAATGCATCTGCGTTGCCGTGAGATTTCCCGCTGCGATGTTCGATAGTAAGGTCGTATTCCTGCTGCTGCTGGGCGGTGCTGTTAGCCGCACTTCCTTTCTGAGACCGTTCACCTTCCCTTCCTAGGGTGTGCTTGGGGCAGCTGGACCGAATATGGCCCCTTTCCCCACAACCATAGCACCTGGGGCTGTATCCTTTATTGTGGTCGCGAACCGTAACTGCGGCAACCACCCTAGCGCTAGAGGAACGACGATCCTGCCACCGCCAGGCGGTGCCGTTAGCTGCACGACCCTCTCGAGATTGATCAACTCTCCTTTCCACGGTTCGCTTAGGGCAGCTGGATCGAAGATGGCCCTTTTGCCCACAGCCATAGCACCTTGGGCTGTATCCTTTGTTGCGGTCGCGAACTGTAGCTGCTGCAACCTCCCTGACGCGATGGAAACGATCATCCTGCCGCACGGCTTCCACCTCCAGTGCATGGGCCAAGGCGTTCTTAAGCGTCTCGTGGTGCCCGAGCCTCACAGCAGCTCTGACTTCCAGGTCACGGATGCCGTCGATGAATGTCTGCACCAGGTTCCCTTCAATGAGCGCAGGTACAGACCGGTATGCTTTTCGCACCAGCTTCTCCACTTCTAGAGCCCACTGCTGCAGGTTTTCGTTGATGCGCTGCACACGATCTTTAAGCTGCGCACGAAAGACGTGTTCCAGGTGAGCGTCGCCATATCTCGCCTCCAATGCCTCAAGGAGTTGCTCATAAGTCACTTCTTCACCGAGAGCTTCCAGAACTGTTAAGGCCTGGTCGCACAGGCCTAGTGTGAGAGCAGTCATGGCCTGACTTTTATTCCAGCCGTTCGCCTTCATAACAGCCTCGAACTGGATTTTGTAGGCTGACCAGGAAGAAGTCCCGTCGAACGGTGGCACCTTGAACCCACGTAGCGAAGGTGCTGTAGCTACTACGGGAGCTGTCGTTCCATCCCCAAGTTTGAGGTCCTTCAGCGTTTTCTTCACGTCAGCCATCACGTTGTCAACCCGATTGTTCACATGGTTGATTCGGGTCTCATGTTCTTCGATTCGGGTTTCAGCTTCCGACAGGCGGTTGTCATGTTGAGCAACCCTATCCTTCACCTCCCTTATCTCTTTCCCAAAGGTAGCGTGAAGGTCGTTCATGAGGAGCATCTGCTCTTCCAACCGACGAGCCTGTTCCGCCTGCTGATCTTCCAACCGACGGGCCTGTTCCTCCTGTCAGCGGGCCTGTTCCTCCTGTCGGCGGGCCTGTTCCTCCTGTCGGCGGGCCTGTTCCTCCTGTCGGCGGACCTGTTCCTCTTGTCCGCTCTGCAGCTTCTCTTTTAACTGACGGACCTGTTCCTCCTGTCGGCGAGCCTGCTCCTGCAGCATCACCAACAGAGCACCTAAGTCGGGTGCTGCTGATGTAGGAGCTACTGACGGGCCTGCAGCCGGCGACTGTCCCTCCTACGTCTGCGGCGTTGCACCACCAAATCTTCGTTGGTCCGTCTCCTGCTGGCGTTGACTTCGGGTACGGACACCCTACGTTTCCTCCTTAGGTAAAATCGGCATTATTTTATCCCACTTCTGACACCAATTGTTACGAGCTTAGGGTTCGTGACAATAAAAATTGCCGATAAAATTACCTAAATTAACACTTTAATTTACTTTACACAAATTAAAACTAAAAACACTAATAATTAAACACACTAATTCAGTTAATTCCGCTCCGAAGCTTCGCTTGTGTCGCCAAGTTCAACTCCGCTCTGCATCTTGCAGCGCCTATATATTTAAATTAGCAAAGAAATATCCAGAATGTTCAAGTAAACACGCGCAAGGTACCGAGCGTTCGAGTTTCGACTAGGCGCTGTCGGTTGAGTGATTTGTGATGTCATTTTCTCAATGCTCCCCTCGCTCTCGTTCCTGACACTAGATGGCGCTAGCGTATCGTTGACTTGAGCGCGTAACAATATTATGATTTCTTATATTTACACGAACACTACACATTGAAATAATACTAGTTTTTACGGAATTTATCGCGTATATTTAACTTTTTAAATACCCGAATTACTAACACATCTAGAAAATAATTCGGAATCCTGATAACACCTTGAGCCATACTGTGTATAGAAAAAAGACCCATACAGATAGATATTTAAACGGTGATTCTCACCACCATCCTTCACAGTTAGCTACCGTGGGTAAATCTTTGTTTCAGAGAGAACGAGAGATCTGTGACAGTAAACACCTGGCTGCAGAGCTCCACCATGTCAAGCAAGTTTTGCATGACAACAAGCTTCGAGTCCCGCGCCTACGTCACAGTGAACGAGTGAAGCCGGCCACAGTCGAGCGTGTACCTGCTGCGAATGCCATATGTTAGAGGAGTCACTGACAAGATTGGCTACATCTTGAAGCGCGCTTCCATCAAAGCATACTTCAAGCCGCTGAAGAAGATTGGTCAGTTTTTATCATCAGTCAAGTGTAATGTCCCTCTGCAAGATGCAGGAGTGTACAAGCTTGATTGTGAATGTGGTCTCTCCTACATAGGACAAACTAAAAGATCAATAAAAACCCGCGTTAAAGAACATATAGCTGATGTGAAGAATCGACGCTCCGGGAAGTCTGCAGTCTGTGAACACGTACAGGATCGCCCCCGTCACTACATCAGATTTGATAGACCGCAAATCCTCGCTAAAGAACACCGATTCCTTCCAAGGATGATTCGCGAGGCTATTGAAATCAAAAAACATCCTAATTTCAATAGAGAAGATGGCTGGGTGCTACCATCTGCTTGGGATCCTATAATAAATAAAATTAAATCCCAACCCAAGCATACAACTGCAAGACTTAAAGATACCATAAGTTCATACTGCATAGATCGGAACAAAAGTTAAATTTTAATCTATGGTAACCGCGGTTAACTATGACATATTGACGTTGAACATCTCAGTCCCGCCCGTGACCATGAGTGCTGTAAAGCGTTCGAAACGTCGGGTATTTAAAAGTTAAATATACGCGATAAATTCCGTAAAAACTAGTATTATTTCAACACTGATGATAATCACTAGGAGTGCGTTTTAGGCATGTCTATCTAAAGTCGATTAATCGAAAAATCGATTCTTTGGAGTAAAATAATTCGGAGCACCGCATCGATTCACTGGATCGATTCAAAAACATTTCGAATCGGACAGATTCATCTGATTCAAGAATAGCGATAAAATTCCTAAACTGGATGGAGTAAGATACCGCAGTTTTTTAATTTTTTGCTGTTTGGGAGACGCAAAAACAACGAATCGTACTTGGTTGTTAAATTGATCACAATATTTGAATAAAATAAATATTTATTAACGCATCCAACAATATCGAAAAGATGTCATTTCATTTTCGGTTCTAAAATTCTAATTCTAATCTTACCTGTGGAATGTTGGTCTAACTTAATATGTGCTGTGAACAAAGACTATACCTAGTCAGGTCATAAGTATTGTCACACAGTTAAAACTTTTCTTTTAGAATGCTGGCCACAAAAAAGTTTATTGAATTCGAATTTCGAATTGTTCATGAAAATAAAACTGTATACTTTTTAAAATTTTACTCATTTTTAAATATGGAGTGGACGCTTAAAGAAGACCGTGTTGCAGTTATTGCGTTTCATCGTTGCGGTTACGCGCCAATTCAAATTTTTGACATACTGGAAAATTTGAATATAACCAAAAGATTCGTTTATCATACCATCAAACGATACAATGAAGACTCTAGTGTAGATGATAGGTCAAAAAGTGGTCGCCCTCGGTCTGTTAGGACTCCAGCAGTGATAAAAGCTGTGAAGGCGCGAATTCAAAGAAATCCCAAACGTAAGCAGAAACTGTTGGCCCTTCAGATGGGGTTAAGCAGAACCACGGTGCTAAAGGGTGTTAAATGAATACTTAGGGCTTCGGGCATATCGAAGAAAAACAGGACATCGTTTGAATGCTCGTCTAATAGACCTGAGACTGAAGAGATGCTGCGCTTTGTTGAAGCGGTACGCGGGAAAAAAATATCGGCAAATTCTTTTTTTCGGACGATAAAATTTTTACCGTAGAAGAGAGCTACAACAAACAAAATGATAAGGTGTACGCACACAGTAGTGAAGAAGCGAGCAACCGTATTCCGCGTGTCCAACGAGGTCATTTTCCACCCTCGCTCATGGTATAGTTGGGAGTTTCTTATTGGGGCTTAACAGAGGTACATTTTTATGAGAAAGGTGCAAAAACGAATGCAGTTGTGCATCAAAATACAGTCCTGACGAACCTTGTGGAACCTGTTTCTCATACCATGTTCAATAACAGGCACTGGGTATTCCAACAAGATTCGGCGCCAGCTCATAGAGCGAAGAGCACACAAGACTGGCTGGCGGCGCGTGAAATCGACTTCATCCGGCACGAAGACTGGCCCTCCTCCAGTCCAGATTTGAATCCGTTAGATTACAAGATATGGCTCAAAGCCTCATCCCAATTTGGAGTCACTCAAGACATCCTTGATTAAGGAAGCCGCCTATATTGACTGCTGCGATAGACAAATGGCCGCGCAGATTGATGGCCTGTATTCAAAATCACGAAGGTAATTTTGAATAAACTTTAGTGTCATAAGAATCTATGTTTGTTAAGTTCATTTTGGTATATAAATGGTTACATAATGAATAAACTTGTTTCAGTTATTTTATATTAAACATGTGACAGAATGTATGACCTGACTAGGTATATATACTATAATATATACACACACACACATATATATATACGGCTGGTGTCTGTACAGCTATGTTATATATATATATATATATATATATATATATATATATATATATATATATATATATATATATATATATATATATAACATAGCTGTACAGACAGAGTACTTTTTAAAACGTAGATACTGTAAATAAATATTATATGTTGCAGTTTATAGAGATTTATAGTAAGGAAATAACCAGTATTATGTTCGTGTAGCATTCATTTCAATTTGATAAATAGTGAGTTATTAGATTGAAACAGATTTATCGAGAAATGTACGTTGCAGTTTGCACTTTTGTTAAAGTATTGTTATTTTTAGCCTAAAATGTCAAATACAAGTAATACATAGAATCACTTTGTAAAAAAAGGGATCGAGTAGCGTATGTGCGAACCACTCCTAACACGAGTTTTTCATTTTACCAGGAGTGGTTAAAAGGAATATTAGTAATGTTAATTAACAAGATTACTAATGTTATATTTAAAAAAAATATATTAAAGTTCAATTAAAGAAAAAATCGCAAATTCTTGAAATTTCATGTATAAAAATCGCGATTAATCGAAAATCGATCTTTTAATCTTCGATTTAATCGATAATCGATTCTAGCAATTTTAATAGCAGCCGAAATGAGTTTATTAGCTAACGTTGTTACAAGTGGACCCAATTGTAATAACGAAATAACGAAATAGATGTGTATATATCTATTATTTAGAATTTGAGTTTATTTAGTTTTCTTTTAGTATAAAGAGTTTCATTTTATAATCCACGTGGTAGCGCCATACTTAAACTTTATTATGATTACAGAACAAATAGGTTAGGTCGATCGGGTGAATGATCAGTGAAATCTGAACAGTTACTACTCGTGTACAAATTATTCCAATCATTGTGGGGTTCATTTAAATAGTATTCACAAATACGAGCGCACAGTGGCACATAAAATGAGTGTGATCACTCAGCAATATCTCTTTAAGTAGTTTAGGTATTAAAAATCTAGATGAATGATTACATAACTTAAAAATACAGTGACGGGAAGTAGAAGCAGCACGCTTATAATTAGCCATAGTAATTGTTGATACCGCTTTGGAAATGGCAGGGGTTACAGGTGCAGGTATAGGGGGTGGTTGTGGGATGTTACCGATGTCTTCTATATTCATGGAATGTAACTCCATATCCGTTCTCATTTTGTTGTCTCTGTCTCCATACAGCTCTGGAAGCCCTCAGCCAGCAAGGACTGCAAACTCGTTCTAAGCGATCCACCTGAAAAAAAGATTTTTTTATCAACTAACAGAATGAACTATAGTTTTACAGTGTCTACCGTAAATATTAATAATATTTATTATTGTTATATTTATTTCAATCTTTCTAAAACTAAATAGTTTTAATGTATTTTAAAGTTATAAATATTAGCATGCAATTGCTTCCCTTCATAATATTTTTGTGGAAAATACCACATTCTACTTATATAAAAGAAATAAAAAATACATCACATATCAGACAAGAAGTAGTTATTTTAGAATTATAACATTATTTGACAAAGCCCAAGTTCATTAAAGTTTTATTTATACTAATGTCATTTATGGTAAAACATTATTACTTGTATAATAAGTACAAAGGCATACAAATATGGGTGTAAGGTAAGGAAGAAGTAGCGTTTAACTAATAGTTAAAAATAAAAAAAAAACTGGTTATTAATGCCAAATATCCCCCCATAAGACAATCTATGGGGGAGTTCTATGTTCAGCAGTAGATTTTTGGTAGACTTTAAAGTTAAAGATAACCTGTTAGTGAACAGCCATGTTAAATGAGCATAAATATCAGGCCAAATTGTGTGCAAGGTGTCTGATTTTACAAACATCAATCTGTGTACCAAAGCGATTATGGCAAATCCTCCGGGCAGGCCTATTTCAGGCAGGGGACCATTTACAGCCTTTTAAAATAAAGTAACTACCTGGTGTGATGGTATCCACTGCAAAATAATATCTCTTTCTTCAGAGTTAATAGGCACAGCCCGTGCATGGCGTGCTCTTAAAATTGAAGATTCACATGGAATACAAATATTCCTGTGCCCAAATCTTCTAATGGAATGAGCAGATGCAACACTTTCTTGCAATATTCAACTTGCAATTTACAACAAACTATATCAAGTGGGTGTAACTGAAAAAAATCAGGAACTAAAATTAAAAATAAAAGAGTAAATAAATATTAAGTTCAGATAAATGTGTCCTTTTAAGGGGGGAGGAGGGAAGCGAAGTTGGCATGAAAGTGAATGTTTGATGTGGAACCCTATAGTATTTGAAATACAATATAATTTCAATTAAAAAAAAATTGGAAATTCAAAAGACAAATTTCGATTAATATATTATTATTTTACAATACTCACAGTATCTCAGGTATATCATATAGTGATAAATAAACTTTATAATATTAGAGTATTATAGAGTTGTGTAATATTAGTAATATATGAGGGAGGCCTATGTTCGGCAGTGGAGTTTAATGGGTTGTAACGGTAATATTAGAGTGGATTGAAATATTTCTCATTGCACAAAATAACTTTTTTTTCTAATTACATAATATTTTATTCTTAGTATAAATATTGACATATATCTGTGCCTCCTGTGATGAGTGATTTAAGTTGAGTTGTACCCTTTTTTGTGATTTTAACATGGGCATTATCAGAAAATAATTACGATTTTTTTTGGTCTAACTCACGTTTTTCTATCTGCTATAGTTTCGGAGATAATTTTGTGCAAATTGATATAACTGTCCAGAATTTGGCAAAAAATTCGTGAATATCGATATTTGTCAAGATGTAACCTCCATAAGTAATCACTCAATGCACTATTTTTCGTACTTCATGATTTAAATGTGATTGTATTCAATTTCATATTTTATTTTTCAGTACAATTATCGTGAATATTGATGTGCCTAGAGTCATATCCTTTTGAACCGATTCTTTTCGATATGCCTAGGGTACAAATGGACATATACCTACCGATTCCAATGTGAATTTATGAATTTTTTTTGTGAAAAGTGATACATCGTGAGATAAATCTTTCTACACAAATCTGTTTTTATGTGTAAACAGATATAAATGTAATTGTATTTAAAAGTCAAACCAATTCTAAAAATATTTATGTAGAACTATTATGTGCTAAATGATACGAGTGTAGGTAGTGTGGGTGCGCGGAGGTGAAGCGCCGCGTGATCGGGGATGCGCGGGACTTGGAGCCGTATTTTGAGTTTTGCTCGTGCTTTCCGCCCGCAGTGTCGCTGCGGCATTGATGGAGTGAGGTCACGTCCGAATGCGCCATGGATCGACGCGTAAGTTGATAGACGTATCATTTTACACGAAATTCCATAATATTGGATTTTTTGTTTTGATATTGAATTAAATCACCTGACACAAAATAACGTAATGTTTTCGTATAGTCATAGTAATTAAGTTGCTTGATCTTTTCTTTTGCAATTTTGTCCCTATTATTTTGTTTTAACTAGGTATTCAAAGTCATTTCCTGTTTTTTTAATTAACCTTTGATTTATTATTTAAAGTCTTTTTAGAGACAAGTGTTGTTTTCGTGCTGTGGTTTTCAAAACTTTAATGTATTTAATGCTAAATAGAATAATGTTCGTTTCAGTTAAAATCTCGAATTGATAAAATAATGGAGTTGGCCTCTGAAGCCGAAATTGAAGAAAAATATTGTAATACTCAGGGATATGGCTACGAATCAAGCGAGGAGCAAGAAACAAGAAAAACAGTTGAAGGGTCGCGTCATCAGGATCCAATAGTTGCAGAAACGGTTATTGACAAAGAAAAAACTAGTGATATCCAGGAAGAAGGCAACATATTAATAGGGACGCAAGAAGTAAGAAAACCAGTTGAAGAGTCGCGGGACCTTCCAATTGCTGCGGAAACGGTTTGTGACAATAATAAGAGGAACACGACACAAGAGAATTCTTCAAAATACCTACTAGATGACTTGAGAATTTCCGATTCATCAGACGATGGTGATTTTGGATCATCTAGCAGTGATGATTATATTTGCGCTACTGATGAATCGTCGTCATCCAGTGATAATGAAAGAACTTCAGCTAAAAAGAAAAGAACGACTACGTCGTCGGTGAGACATACCTCCAATATTACAGTTCCAGAAACACCCCCGTCGCCCATGAGCACATCAGAGAACCCTGTTCCTGGTTGCTCTTTCTGGGAACGCAACGGTATGAATAGTGCCGGGAAAAATAAAAAACAAGAAAAAGTGTCAAGGAGAGAAGACAGGATAGAGCAAGGAGAAAATTGTTTCGTAATACTGGCTTAGAATATATAACGACATCAGGGAAAACAAAGAAACGTCGGCAACTTCATGAACTTGAAAACTGCCGTCAAAAATGCAAGCAGAGACTACCACAGGACTTGAGGGAGAAACTTTTTAAACAGTACTGGAGTTTAGGTAGTTACGAAAATAGAACTAAATACATTGCGAAATGTATTGAAGTCTGCCAAAAAAAAACTTCGAAGCTTTCTCCAAAGAAAAAACGCAACGTCAGCTTTCGTTACTTTGTACATGGTTTTGATCATACAAAACATCCAATTTGCAAAGGATGTTTTTTGAAGACTTTTGATGAAAGTCTTCAAAAAAACTCTTGATGAAAGTCTACAAACGGTATGCGAGAAACTACGAGACAATGGCGGTCATCTTCCTCAGCGTAAACGTCGAGTTGGTAAGTCAATTCCTGATTTCAAACTAGAGGAAATAAAAGAACATATTGCTTGTTTCCCTTGCACAGAAAGCCACTACGGCCGCAACAAAACCACTAAAAAGTTTTTGAATTCCGAGCTCAACCTTCAAGTTCTTTATAACTTATACAAACTGAAGACTGATGCTCCAGTAAGCAAAACCATCTTTAAAAAGGTCTTTGAAACCATGAACTTATCCTTTAAAAAGCCATCTGTAGACACTTGTTCAAAATGTGACCGCATCAATATGAAACTCAAGTATGCATCTGTGGATCAGGCTGCAAATCTGATAGAGACGTTCAAGGAGCATCAAGAGGCGTTTAAGGCTGCTTACGAAGAGAAAAAGGCAGATAAACAACTGGCTCAATCGAGCGAAGTTGTAGCTGTCATAACATTTGATTTGCAACAATGTTTACCCATACACGATTTTTACATTTAATTTGACCATACACGATTTGAAAACAAACAAGGCTTTCTGTTACATGTGGCCGGAGTGTGAGGGTAATAGAGGGGCTAATGACATTGCTTCGTGTTTATATGATTTTATCATAAATCAACTACCAAACTTACACCCAAACGCTAAGAAGCTGATCATGTTCTCGGACTCTTGTTCTGGCCAAAACAAGAATTCGATTGTAACAACAATGTTAATGCTAGTTACTAGACTATCCCCACAATTACAATTTATTGAACATAAATTTCTCGTACCTGACCATACACACATGGAGGCTGACACCGACCATGCATTGATTGAGCGTAAAAAGAAGATCACGAATATGGATATACACTTGCCAAGAGATTGGTACCAACTAGTGCGTACAGCTTCAAACAAAACAGCCAAGTTTACTGTTATCGAAATGACTCATGAAATGTTTTATGATTTTAACATTTTCGTAAAGCAATCTTTTACTTTTAGGAAAACGAATACAGCCAATGAAAAGTTTTTGTGGTTGAACGTTAGATCTGTACTTTATAACAAAGAAAACATATCCTGTTTTTCTTACAAAAAAAGAGTTCAAAGATGTTGAGTACTTGACCATGGACTGTTCTAAACGGGGGAAAACTTATGATAATATATTTACGATTAATATGGTACCGAAAGCTTACCACTCTAAACTTCCTATTTCAACCGATAAGAAGAAAGATCTATTAAATTTGTTATGTTTTATTCATGAGAGCGCTCATGAGTTTTACAGAAGTCTGAGCTGCAAAAATGATGTCAAAGACAGTCCAGCGGATAATGACGATGATTCAGATGGTGAATAGGTTCCGGTTCATATTATAACTTATAGATCGAAAGACTTTGTTATTTTTTTATTGCTTTGTTAACGTTAGTCTACATACAGGTGGGCATATTATAATAATTTAAAAAGGTTCAATTCTGATTTGAGTATAAGTATTTTTTTAGTTAACATTATAATCATTTAAGACGAGTTATCCATCTCAGAGTGCAATTTATTATCTACCTCTATGGAACACCTGTTAAAATTTGAAGTGTTGAAAAATTTTGTTTGTTTGTTATTTTCCTAGATTTTTAGATTAAGACATGATTGTGATACTTTGTATTGTACTTAGTAGGTTAATATTGCTTATCGTGATACCTAAAGATAGATCTGTGCCATTTCTTAGATTTTAAGTTTAAAATTACTTGCTAACTTTTTTACAAATGATAAGTTCCTATTGAGAATAGTTAAGCTACATTCATATTGTTAAATCGTGATTATTTGATCTCAATTTACTTTTTTTAAGAATTTTGATAAATTTGTGCCTTAAATTTGAGTGAATTATTTATTTTGAAAAAGTTTAATAAACGTTGATTATTTTTCTACACAAAAGATTAAAATTATAGCTGTAGAAGGTATGAATTTATTAATAATATGAAGGGATATTTATCATTACTTTCAAAAACTTAAAATAATTAAGTACTTAAACATGTATAGAGATATTATTATTATTATTTCTAGAAAATCGTACCATATCCCATATTATTCAATAAAAATTAAGTAATACATTAAAAAGGAAAATATGTAATTTTTGTTTCCGCAGTATAGCAATATTATTGCAATTGAATCGAGAGTAACAAAAATAATATATATTTCTCATAAAAGTTTAAATCTAGATATAAATATACTCACCTCGTGAGAAATCCACCTCGTGAAAAAAGTTGGCGCACATCTGCAGCTGTCCCGGCCAGTAACTGTCTTCGCACACTGCGTTAAAACCTGACTCCTCAATTGCAACATACACTTCTATTTTCATTGTATGCTGATCTAGCAGATTCCATTTTCTTAAAATCGCATATAAATACAAAAAACAGTATCGTGACAAACGTTAATGCCGTAAAGATTAAGGATGTAATACCCGTCCGACGGCCGCTGGGAATTAACAGGACACGGAAGTCAATGACAAAATAACGTTTTGGTTCACGGTCATGTAGAACTATGTCATAACATGATCAGCTACTTTTAGAAATTAAACATAAAGTTCTTAGTTGTATCTTTTTTAGTAATAAATATATAATTTACAATTAAGTATATGTATATAATTAGTCATCTTTGTGAAAAAATAGCTTTTACAAACTGCAAAATGCTAATTACACGCATTTTACCCATATTACACTAATCAGAACGCTAATATCAAAACAACTAATTTTTTTTCATTGCACTGATTTGTGGAGCGACTGTGCAACAAACTTTATTTGTGCCTCTAAAGAACTTGATTCTATGTTTAAAAATAGAAAGTCTACTGTAGTAGGAGAAATCGCTCAGCTTTTAACTAATGACAACATGAACTGGCACTTTATCCTACCAGGTTCTCCACACGCGGAGGATTATGGGAAGCTCGTGTAAAGTCCGTTAAAGGTCACTTAAAACGTGTTATTGGACAGACACTTTTAACTTTTGAAGAGTATGCCACTTTTTTGGCTCAAGTAGAATCTTGTGATTCACGACCATTGACTCCTGTAAGTACTTCAGTTGATGACGCTTCTCCTATTACACCCGGACATTTTTAGATTGGCGAAGCACCTATCACTATCCCTGAGGAAAACCTTGAAAACGTTACATTATCTTATCTAAGTCGATGGCAACTACTTCAACGGATGTTACAAAATTTGTGGACTCGTTGGAGTTCTGAATACCTTATAACTCTACAGCATCGTTACAAATAGTCAAATCAAAATGAGGAATCAGATATTGGTACTGTCTTTTTAGTTAAGGATGAAAGGCTTCCTCCAAAAAATGGCAATTAGGTCGTATTTTAGATAAGCGTCCAGGGAAAGATGGTTTAACTAGAATTGTTACATTGCAATTTAAGAATAATATTTTCAAAAGACCTATCACAAAAAAAATCTGTCCTCTTCCCACAGATTTAAATTAGTCTTAGCATTTTTGCGCGCCTAAGTTGACGTCAGTTACCTGGCACTAGCGCCATCTAGTGTCGGGGACCAGAGCGAGGAGGGTTTCCTAGAAAATGTCAATCTTAAAATTTCGACCAACAGCGCCATCTAGTATCGAACAGAAGGATTAGGCTTTCTAGAAGCCCCACACTCGAACTTTCTGCGTCTGGTCGGTCAGCTCCCGTATCTACCGGAATATTCTGGATGTTTCGGTATAAAAGGTGTATTTAAAGACGCTGCATGCCGCGATCGGGGCAGTATTGAATTTGGCGAGACTAGCGAAGCTTCGGAGCGAAATAAAGCGAATCAGTGTGATTAATTATTGGTGTCTTTTAAGTTTTAATTTGTATTCGGTAATAAAAGTGTAAATTTTGGTAATTCGATCGGCAGTTTTTATTGTTACGAACCTCAAGCTCGTAACAGTATGATAAAATTGTATATTCTTTTTTAATGTTATCTGAACTTCTTAATTTCCTTGTATTTTTAAAGCCTGTTAGTCCTTGAGCGCCGGAATGCTTAAACGATTAAATTTAGTTTTTATAATGAACAACAGTTGGCGCCACAAGTCGAAAGAGTTTTAATTTAGTAGTATTGTAAATTTAATTTTTTATGAAAAATGTAGAGAAAAACAATGTGACGTTTTCAACAAATAAAATATGACGAAAATTTTATGTGCAGTGTTTAATTTCAAAAAGTAGTGGTGTAAACACCTGTAATATATTCTGGAAAAATAGTCTGTTTTTAAACAAGCTATATTTTTATAGGTACTTGTAACTTATACTTGTACTTATAATATGCCTATGGTACTTTTTATTTTATCTACACATTATTTTTTAAATATATAATTTACCGAGTGAAGGTAGGCCACAGGTATTATTAACTAAGGAATAAATAATATACCGATTAAGACACGGGGTAACTCACCTAGCAAATGTACAGTTTCACCAGCATCCACTAAGTCCTCAAGGTGGTACTGTATGATGCTATAATTAAAAATGAAGCTACCATGTGTAGCTCCCCCCATAGATAGCATCAACATGCAATATATTTAAGTCCGCATCAGTAATCTACAAAACAAAATAACATTTTATTTTAAGTTACCTACGATTTGTTTTCATATATACAAAAGAAATGTTCTTAGATATTATTATAAATCTTACCAATTCTTGCATGATTTCCTTTATGACAGTAATATCGATCTTAATTTTCTGATAACCTAACCATGGTAACGTAGGTAGCAACAACACATCCTAACACCCCAGGAATTTTGTATTTCTCGAAGAATCTATAATGTTATGTACCTATTATTAGGCAAATATTTCAAACTTATTGGTAGGTAGGTTTAACATTGAAAATATAGGTACTACAACATAATTATAATACATATACCGACCTTTCCTTTAGTTTGAGCCTCTCCATGGAATTCTGTGGAAACCGTATGTATTTCCTTACGACACTAGGGTGATTTAGGGCATCAACTACCTCGCGAACACATCGGGAGACAGATGTTTGTGATAAATAAGTGTGCACATTCTTTCCACAAATTCTCTGATAGCTACCGCTGGCCAAGAATGAAAGGGCACATAATAACCGAAAAATAATTATATTTTGTAAAAAAAAAGCTTTTGGAAAGTTGTAAATGAATAGTTTTATTTTTATTTTTCTATAGGACAGGGTAACAAACGAGCAAACGGTCCATCTGATGGTAAGTGGTTGTTGTGGCTCATAGGCATCTACATATATCATTAATTACGAATCAAAATGCAGATGCGTGGTCACCCATGAGGACTAAGATGGAATTCCTCGTTTCCAGTAAAAAGGGTCTCCGGTTCTCTACACTCACCATAAGAAACACGTCAGCATTAAGCTACTATTTTACGCTGGTATTCTGTGAGAGCGTGGTCCTTCCCCGGTCGAGCCGACCCATTCGTGCTACAACTATACTACTAATATAACTGCAGCATGGCCCTACCACGTATAAAAACTATTAGCGCACGTAAAAAAATATTTACAGTTATTTTGATAGACAATCCGCGACCTCA